AATTCAGAGGAACCAATGTTGTCATAGTCTAAATAAGACTAATCATTTTTTTTTTCAAATTTAAATTTTTTTAGCAATCTTACATTTTTGGCACGAGCAGATGCAAATTTACGGTGTGCTGTTTTTAATTTTTTTTAAAGTTGGAACTGCTCCTCCTGTTTTAGCCTAATACTCATAGTCTCTAATTGAGAACTTAATGAGTTACAATGTGCGTTGAGAGCCTTGTTTTTAGAATTTAAATATATAACTTCAGTTTCCAACTTTGATACCTGTATACCTAAATTATCTATTTGCTCCACATTATTTTTTTCTTTAGAAATTAATTGTTCAACTTGACTACTTAGTTCCTTATTCCTATTTAAAATATAAAAACTATCTGCATCTGCTGATTTTTTTTGTTTTTTTGTTTGTGGAGCTGGAGACAGTTGCATTTTAAAAAATGCTTCGTTTCTTGAAGCTTCAAAATACTTTTTAGAATCTTTTTTTCTTTGTTTTATTTTTCGGCACATTTTATTTAACACATCAATATTAGGCATATTAAACTCAATTGGCAAAAGAAAACTTAAAAAAGTAAACAACGCTTTTGGATGAAAAACTGTTAATAAAATTGAAATCACATTGTTAGTGATCTTACTAGTGTATATTACTCGCTTTACAAAATTAAAGTTATACTTATTTTCCCAACCATCTTCCCAACCGATGTACAGTTTCAAAATTTCCCTCTCAGTTGCATACATCACATAAATAATGATAATGATATTATAATAATAATATAATAAAAGAAATTAAATAAAATAATATTTACAAATAAATACACTAAAAATAAAAGAATTAAGCAACTTATCTGAGATTAGTCGAATATCCACGAGGAAATAATCCACAAAACTTTGCTTTATAATCTTTATTGATATAGTAATAAAATTATAATACAAACAACTTAAATAAAATAATATTGACAAATAGATGCACTAGATAAAATCGGATTAATCAACTTATCTGAAATTAGTCAAATATCCAAGAGAAATTAATCCGCGAAACTTTGTTATTTATTCTATAAAATGTTTCTCGTTTGTTTTGTTTGTTTTCTTAAAATGCATCCGATAATCGTTGGGGACGTAACGATCAGAGTTTGCGTCACCGCTTTAAAATGTAAACAAGAATTTATGCAAAAAAAACTAAAAAAAAATGTCGCTAAACATGCCAAGTTTGAAAACATATTTGATAACATAGCTAGTGGTACAGAAAATAATTTTTTGATTTTCTTATTCATATAAGGTTGAAGTATTACTAAATCCACAGACTTTTCAAAAATGTTATGTTTTTTATTCAAAACGAATAAAAACAAAAATATAAATGCATTAAAAACTAACTTTCTATATAAAAACTTGCAAAGTCTGTGGAAATCTAGATAGAACAGACATTCATTAATAACTGTTCTAAATTTCAACCATCGACCATGTAGCTATGTTATCAAATCTTAGTTGGCCTAAGACAGGTTTTGCGTAAAAATCGCAAAAATCAGAAAAGTGATGCCAAATTATTAACAATATTTTTACAGCTTTCATTTTTATTCCGTTTAATGTAAATGTTTATTTAACAAGGAAAGATAGATCTTTTATATTTTTTTTATTTGAAGATGAAAGCATTTATAGAAAAAAAATACTATTATTTTAAAGTTAATGAATTTTTATACTTTTTATGCGGAAATACTTTTTTTTTTGATAAACTCGTGACGTCAGGCTCGCTTTTATATTGAGTGAAACAGCCGTGTTTAACTAAAAGTGAAAAAGGTGCATTATTACATGTTTTTATTTAACAATTTTTTTCAGCAATATGATTTTTATAAAACAATTAATAATATCGATTTGTTTCTAAAATTTCGCTCCTTTTGAGTACCAGGTTGACCTACTTTTAAAAAACTTTTTTTCTCCAAAATTTTAGGGTACTGGTAATTTTCCCAATAAAGTTGCGCCTTTTAAATCTATCACAATCATTCTCATATTTGATAGTATCAATATTAATAACTATTAGCAGCGTTTAGAGCCTGTAACAAGAAAAAAAAAATTTATGACCCACCATAATATATATATATATATATATTATATATATTATATATATATTATATATATTATATATATTATATATATATTATATATATTATATATATATATATATATATTATATATATATATCACCATAATATATATATATATATATATATATATATATATATATATATATATATATATATATATATATATATATATATATATATATATATACATATATATATATATATATATATATATATATATATATATATATATATATATATATATATATATATATATATATATATATATATATAAATATATATATATATATATATATTTATATATATATATATATATATATATATATATATACATATATATATATATATATATATATATATATATATATATATATATATATATATATATATATATATATATATATATATATGTATATATATATATATATATATATATATATATATATATATATATATATATATATAAACATATATATATAAACATATATATACATATACATATATATATATATATATATATATATAAATATATATATATATATATATTTATATATATATATATTTATAGGTATCAAAATTAATTAGTTTGCAAGTATATTTGCCCCGACGGGCATTTGTTTTTAAAAGTTACGTTCTAAATGTATTTTAAACGTCTTTTAAACATGTTTGTTTAAATGTTTAAAAGACGTTTAAAAGATATTTAAAATACATTTAGATCATTTAGATCGGGGCAGTTATAAAATTATTAAATATATTCCCGACGGGCATACGAACATTTAATCAACGTTAAAGTAATGTTCGTTCTAAATGTTTAGATTTAATTTAGTTTTGATTTAGAACGTAGGTCAATCGAATGTTCCATTTAAAGCGAATCTAAATGGTTCGTTTTAAATGCTATTTAAACTCCATCTAAATCTTTCGTTTTAAACGTCGTCTAAATTTTATAAATTTACGTTTCTTTAATTTATATGCTTCTTTAAATAAGCGCCGTAAAGAAAAGTCAAACGTTGAACGCGTAACTAAATACTCATAAACGAATCAAACATACAGATATTTTTTTTCATACATGCAAGTCTTAAACATATTTACACTAATTTTAATTATTATAATATGAATTATCGTATTTATCATTATCATGATCGCTTTCATGACAATAAGCATCATCTTTGCTTGAATCGTTCAAGCCAGCCTCTCCATCTTGAGAATTGGAAAAATGGGCGCCACCTTTCCCAGTGCCACCTAAACGAAACGGAGCCATTCTAAGATGAGAACCAATGCACGAATGTATTTCGGACAAAGAAGACGTAGAGTATCGTTTCAATACACACTCTAAAAATAATTTAAAAAAATCAATAAACATCTTCATTCAATTCATATAAATTATTTATTCGACAATTTTATAAATTCGTAGTGTGTACCGAGTAGATTTGAATTATAACCTGAGTTTGAATTTAATTTCAATTACAAAAAATATAAAAATAATATTTTACCAACAACAAGTTGACACAGAGCAGAGTCTCTAAACGGAAGCTTTTTAAGAGAACCTTTACCATCCATACTCAAATGAGACATAACAAAATTTGTAAAAAGTCTTTTCAATAGATTCTTAGAAGTATCTTTAATGGATGACCCTCCGATTCGTGAAAGAAGGCGAAGCTACAAAGAAATTATTTATAAGTGCTACTTTTCATTACACATGGGATTCTAATTAATACAAAAACAAAAGTCTTGCCACCTCAATGAAAGCAAAACATATTTTCTGACATCAAAACAAACATTATATAGACGTTAAAAACCTTTCTGGGAAAGAGGATAAAAACAATTAGCTATACACTTACTAAAATTGTTCGATTAGCAAGAACTCTACATTGCTCCTCTAATTTTCTGTATCCATTCAAGGTCCCAATAGCTCCAGCTATAACTTCTAGATGGACCTCAGCAACAGTCTCTAAACTTGGTACGGCCATCATTTCCACTGCTATTCGTAAATCTTTAATTTCGTTAGCCATATTTGATAACTGATAAAGAACTTTTCTCTGAAACTCTGTAAAATATATAACATTTATATAAAAACCTCATTAAAAAAACTACACAAATTTCGTTATAACTGTTCACAGTGATAGGTTAATAATAGATAGCACAATTGCAAAGCAACTGCCTTATCTACAGTAAAAAAAAACAAACAGTCGAATTAAAAAATATATTATTAAATAATATATAAATAAGGTTTGATAACTTACTCCCATTATCGATTTCATTTTCTTGAGGAGCAGTTGGCTCACTCAGTATCATGTTTGCTTGAAACTTTCTATTTAATGCTGATAGTTTCACTACAATATAAATAATTATACAATTACATTGGGCGTTGTAAATCAAAACTTATTTAGAAACGTCATTAAATTTTTCCAGTATATATGTAAATCAGACCCCATATACTATACAACATTATACTATAAATAAACAATAACTAATATCATTATTACAGTTAATTCTAGATATCTCTAATATTTACCAAATCCCTTAGATATTACACTTAAGTTAAAAATTAAGTATTACTTGATCGATCTATTACATTGTCTTTTGATGTGGCAGCTCTCTGTCTGAATATTGGTATTTTAGAATCAAATTTTCGGGGTAACAGAAAAGGAGAAAGTGCTGATTGGTTAGCTATAATGTAAATAACTATATAGTTACATTATTTATGCAAAGTTGTTTTCAATGAAAATTTACTAAATTTTCCTAAATTTGATTTAAAAAAGTTTATCCTTAAAAGGATAAAGGACTAAATATGTTCATAAGTCGTAAAAGTTTGTAGGTCTAAATCTGAAGATTATTTAAAAGTGAAGGTGGTCTATATCAAAGATATAAATTTAGACATCTTACTTGATTGATTCATTTTATTTTCTTTTGGTATAGTCACCATGCTTGATTTGAATGAAGGTATCTTAGAATAACAGCTTGAAAGACCAGGTGACTGTGGAATTGGTGATAGTTTAGCTACAATGTAAATCTCAGGGTATACTTTTGAGATATAACCATTACAATTATTATTAGTATTCAAAGATATAAAGTACAACAACTTACTTGCATGATCACTTTTATATCCTTGTGGTACCACATCCACAACCTTTTTATATAGTGAAATATTTGATGGTAACACTTTGCCTAATTTAGCAGGTGGCTGTGGAAATGTAGATAGTTTTACTATTTTAAAAATAAAATACAATTACAGCAAGTGTAAAAAATTATTTTTAATAACTGTTTTATTACAAAATACATACACATAACACTATTATTACTATTATTATGTAGGCTATTATTAGCTCCTGCTCTACTCTTCATAAAATTACTAATTAATGAACTTGTTTCTTCACGCAGCAGCCTTGTTCGTCAAGGCTTGTGTTTCAGAGTTATGAAGTTGAGAGAGGCTTGAAACTACAAGTAGCCTCTTCGATTGTAGTGGTCATCTCAGCCTTTAGGGAGGTGAATTAACATAAAAAATATATATTCTTACTTTCTGTATTAATATCAACATCAACTTCTTCCTCGCCTGAAAAAAACAAAGTGTTTTACTAGAGCTGTATTAAAGTAGTGGTATTATATCCGAATAAATAACTTCAATTTTGATTAAAATAATGCAAAATTATAGATTGATAATAAGTTTTAAATATTATATTTTATATATTATTTGTCAGTTTTTGTATATTTCACATATGTTATTATTTTCAGTTTATATATTCTATTCACTATTTATATGAGTATTAACAAATTAAAGTAAAACCTTCAAAAAAAGTTGTACAAGCAGTACGCTTTCAGTTTTTTTGAAACTTGCTGATTATCTTCTTCAGTTTCTGTAGTTAAATCATAATTATTACAATCCTCGTAGCAATCTGTAAAAGAAATAAGAAAACATTTAATTTATCCAAAGAAGTTAATGACAAATAAATTCTTTTAACAAGTAATGACTAAATTCTTTAACATTTTGAGAATGTAAATTATGAAGCTGTTGTCAAAAAATAAACACAAAACCTGAAGTAATTTTTATTTTTATTAGTTGAAAAAGTCGCCAATTTTCATTAGGTTCTACTCCTTCTTTCATTAATTTAAACGCATTCATTTTGGATGGGGGCCACATAACTACTTTTCCCCGCACCCATGCGGATGGCAAGACTCCTTCTTCCTCACGATTTTCTTCCAACCAAACAGCCCGGTGATATGACATTTTACTAAAATGTTAATACTCTTTTTATTGTAGTTACATCAACACATAACATAAACTTGTAACTAAACTTGTTTAAAAGTGTTTAATATAAGTTTAGTCGTTTACTAATACATAAATATTATTTTACTAATACATATAAATAGTAGTTTAATTATTGTTATTATCACTTGTTTCAGCTAAACAAGACACCAATAGAAGTTATTACTCTTTAAAATTTTAAGATTAATATCTAAAATTATTTAGATTTACATTAAAAGTAAACAAAATCGAAACAAAAAATAAAAAAAAATTAAAAAGTTAAAACATAGGAAAATAAAATCACAACTTAATATACCTAAAATAAGTTTACAATAACTTACACCAAATGAAAATATTAACAAAAAAAGAAGCTATAATAACTCTTTGATTAACTACGAAGGCTAAAAAATATATAGCTTTTTTCACTAATAGTGCTAACCTAGTATACTATGAAATATCTTCCTTAAATTAAAAATCACATTAGGCATATTAGCATATTTAAACATATTAAACATATAGACATAAAAACATATTTAAAACTATATTAGAGGGAGATAAATATAAAAAGAAATGTTTTTGAATATTTTTCAGAAAAGATCTTGCTGGAGCATCACAAATAACTGAGTGCAAAATAACTGAATAATTTTTACCATTATGAGTGACACCATTACATTTTAAAAATTTATATTCATCAATAAAATCCTTTAAGAATTCTTTAACACAGTTTGGCTTACTATCTCCTTGATATAAGGCAACAATTGTGGGTGAACTATGATTAACAGCAGAAAGAATCGGCCAAAATTGTCTTTTCGATGATCTAAATAATGATATACCGTCAACATTTATTTGCAGATTGAGTATATTGCTGCAAGTGCCTTGATTTATTGAATTCTGTAAACATTTGGTAAGGCCAAAATAAATGTATTTTCCACCACATTTTTCCTGAACTTGTATAGCTTGAGGTGTTTGTAAAAGAGTACGGCTATCTTTAGGCAGCTCGCACCCATGTTTTCTCAACAAGGCTAGCAAACCATTACATGATAAACGTGTGAGTTTTGCATTAACAACCCATTGAGCTAGATCGTATTGAAAAGATCTATTGCCAACAACTTCTATATCACAATAATGTTCATCGTCTGAGCTGCTATTAGGTGGTACTATGTCAATGTCAATATCATCTATATCACAATTTTCTTCATCGGAACTACTGTGAGGTGGTACTATGTCAATGTCAAGTCTATAGGTATCACTATTAAATAAATTATCAGTTATATTATTTGCAATAGAAGATAAAGCGAATAAATTTTCTGCATTAGTTGAAGAATTTGATAACACAGGAGGTTCACATTCAAAGCAATTATTTGCACCTTTAACAACTTTTCTATATTTTCGCATATACTCTGCTTTTGCACTCATACGAATGATCTAAAAAATCAATTAAATAAAATATTAGGTAATGTTATTTTTTATTTACAAACTTATTTTTTTTTATATAATTTATATGAATATTATTATAGATAAGATAATAAGAATTTAAGATATTATAACTAAATAATAAACTTAATAACATCGTATAATTAGATTATTTGTAACAATAATAATAGTTATTATTATTAATATTTTATTAATCACCCTCTGTAAAATAAATTTACAAGGTAAAAACACAAACTAAGAAATAGAGATAAAAAAAAGTATTATTTAGGAATGTTTTCTTCAAGTGTTTTTTCAAAAATTGTTCGCTGTTCTTTTACATTCCAACATTGAACCGCGTGTACCAAAATATGAAGAGTAGCTTCAGGAATTACTTCCTCAAAGACTTTAAGTTTTACTTTTTTTTTAACCAGCATTAAGGTGTTCATATTCAGTTTATGATTATCACATAATTCTTTTATATCATCTAAAAAAGAAAATTTAGCTGAACAGTAGTTAAGTTAGGAGTTACTGATTTCAAAGGTTACTTTATTGTTTAAAAGGCGGATAAATAGATTTTTTTTTTTTTTAATGTATATAACTTGACATCTCCTTAATTTTAAATAGAGAGTGTATATAGTTAATTTTAAGTAGAGAGTGTATATAGTATAGAGAGTGTATATAGTACTTTAAATAGAGAGTGTATATACTTGGAGACATTAAAAATTAATTTAACTGCGTTCCTTCTAAATGAGTAGAGTCTTTTCATTGTTGCATCTTTATTTTCACAGATTTATTATTATTATTATTATGGAGATTATTATTACGAAGATTAAGATTAAATAATTACGCTAATAAAGTAAATAAAACAAATTAGAAACAAAAACAGTAGTTTAAAAAATGTAAAAGGTAAAAACTATACTTTTTTTTTAATGAGTTATAAAATTATTTTTTTATACACAAGTTAAAGATAAGGAAATCAAACATATTGACAACAGAGTTTGTCAAGGTTTGTGTTTCTGTGTTAAAGAGTTTCACCGCTGCCCAAATTTTTTCTCAGAATAGGCCCTGTATATATATATATATATATATATATATATATATATATATATATATATATATATATATATATATATATATATATATATATATATATATATATATATATATATATATATATATATATATATATATAAACATCAGTGGTAAGATTCAAATAATTTCACAACGAGTTCTGTATGTCCAAGAAAAAGAAGTAGTAAAATTTTTTAAATACGAAAACTAGTATTGTTTCATACGTAGATAAAGCGTTACATAAAGAATTATTAAAATGAAAATATTTGTATGTATGTATGTATGCATATATATATATATATATATATATATATATATATATATATATATATATATATATATATATATATATCTTTTATTCCCTCTCGACGATTCCAGGTCAAGCCTCACTCTTCTCCTTGGTTTTCCTCACATTGCGCTGCAGCAATTTCTAATCGAAACCGTTACTTCCATATCTATCAGCAAAACAATTCTCCAGAAAACAGACATCTGTTCACTATCGCCAGAAACCATTGTAAAAAGGTTTTGTCTGACGCCAAAGCTCGCTATTCCCAGGTCATTAAATCTCGTATCTCATCACAAAAATTAGGCTCTCGAGACTTCTGGAGAATCTTTAACAGTATCAATAATAAGGGCAAATCTGTTATTCCTTCTCTCTTGTATGGTTCAGACTTTGTCACCTCACCTAAAGACAAAGCTGAATTGTTTGCTAAGAACTTTTCATCAATATCATCTCTTGATTCCACTAGTTGCGTTTTACCTGACATAGCCGTCAAACAGGTTGATCCCTTGCTTGACATTCGCATCACTTCAGCTTCTGTATCTAAAGTAATTTCCTGCTTAGACTCTTCAACAGCTTGTGGTCCTGACAACATTCCTGTTGTAGTTTTGCAGAGGTGTTCTCCGGAGCTTTCATCCATACTTTCTAAACTATTTAACAAGTGCTTATCAGAGTCTTGTTTTCCATCATGCTGGAAAGCAGCATCTGTTATCCCTATTTTCAAAAATTCCGGAGAGCGATCTGATTCATCTAACTACCGTCCCATTAGTCTTCTTCCTGTCATAAGCAAGGTTTTTGAATCTTTAATCAACAAACACTTAATCTCTCATCTTGAATCAAATAACTTACTTTCTGATCATCAATATGGATTTCGGTCTTCTCGTTCTACAGCTGATGTGCTAACAGTAATAACCGATAGGTTTTATCGTGCATTAGATAGAGGTGGAGAGGTTAAGGCTATCGCATTTGACATTTCTAAAGCTTTTGATAAAGTTTGGCATGCTGGTCTTCTCCATAAGCTTTCTTCTTATGGTGTAGCTGGTAACGTCTTTAAGATTATTGAGTCCTTTCTTTCCAATCGTAGTATAAAAGTTGTCCTCGATGGACAACACTCTTCTTCACATCCTGTAACTTCAGGGGTTCCTCAAGGTTCAATCCTTGGCCCTATACTCTTTTTAATTTACATTAACGATCTTCCAGATATTCTCACATCTAAGGTGGCATTATTCGCTGACGACACTACCATTTACTCTTGTCATGATAAGAAGCCTACACTCTCTGATTGCTTGGAGGGGGTATCTGAGCTTGAAAAGGATCTCACTTCTGCTACAGCATGGGGCTCACAGTGGCTGGTGAACTTTAATTCAGATAAAACTCAATTTTATTCGGCCAATCGTTATCGTAATAATTTAGATCTTCCTATATTTATGAATGGTAATGTACTAGATGAGTCATCTACCATTCATCTTCTAGGATTAACTCTTACTTCTGATCTTTCTTTTAAACCGTATATCAAATCCATTGCAAAATTAGCATCTGCTAAGGTTGCATCTCTTTATCGAGCTCGACACTTTCTTACTCCAGATTCTATTCTCTATCTCTATAAATCTCAAATCCGTCCCTGTATGGAATACTGTTGCCACATCTGGGGCGGATCTTCTAATGATGCTCTTTCTCTTTTAGACAAGGTGCAAAAACGAATTGTAAACATAGTTGGACCTGCTCTGGCAGCCAATCTCCAACCTTTGTCACATCGTCGTAATGTTGCTTCTCTTTCTCTTTTCTACAAATACTATAATGGGCACTGCTCTAAAGAGCTAGCGTCCCTTGTGCCATCTACTAAAATTCATTCTCGTGTTACTCGCCATTCAATTAAGTCTCATCCTTTTTCTGTGACTGTTCCTAAGTGCTTCAAAAACTCTTATTCTTCTAGTTTTTTTCCTCGAACATCAGTTCTTTGGAATTCGCTTCCTTCATCTTGCTTTCCTGATTCATATAATTTGCAATCTTTTAAGTCATCAGTCAATCGTTATCTTGCTCTACAGATTTAGTCTTTTCTCTTCCAGTAACTTCCAACTCTTATAGTGGTTGCTTGCAGCCTTGTTGGAAGTGAAGATGTTAAAAAAAAAAAAAAAAAAAAAAAAATATATATATATATATATATTTATATATATATATGTATATATATATATATATATATATATATATATATATATATATATATATATATATATATATATATATATACATATATATATCTGTGTGTGTAGTTATATCAGGATGTATATGCATGTATGTGTGTATGTGTGTAGATCACAGTGTAATTTATACTTTATTACATTTCTTTTACTTAAAAATTGAAAGACTTATAATGATTTGTTTTAACTTTTAACAAGTCACTTCTATTTTAAAAGTCTTTTTCTTTTTAAAAAAAAGGACGAATGTAAAATAAAATAAATACAATAAAAAAATATAAATATAGATTGAATCAAAATCAAAAAAGATTACAAAATCCTAATTCTAAAAAAAATGCATTTATAGCCCTTATTCTCTCAAGTAGTTGAGATTCACACTTAATATTTATTTGCACTACATTGACAATGTCTCAAGTACTTGAGAGAATAAGGGCTATAAATGCATTTTTTTTAGAATTAGGATTTTGTAATTTTTTTTGATTTTGATTTAATCTATATTTATATTTTTATATTCATGTAGCCTACAAGTCAAGTACCTATTATGTGAATAACATTCTATAAGAATTATAATAAGAAACTTATTATTTATCTGTATTTTACCTCTTATGCAATCTTTTAACTATTTCTTGGTTTGATACAAATTATTTCAAATCTTGTAAAACCACTTTTTCTGTAATACAAACTGCTTCAATTTAATTAAATAATACCAATCTTAATAACTTTCATAACTAAACCTTTTTTCAAATTTTTGTGATATTTATGCGAATTATTATAGACTAATAGTTATTATAGACTAATATTTTAATAACAGTCTAAGTATAGTTTTTTATGCCATTATAAAATCAGACTAAATAACGATTTTAAATATGGTAACAAGCATGTTTTAATATACAAACAAGCATGTCTAAAGGTCATTATCAAAAAGTTAATCCTCCTAAAACATCTGTTCAACTCAATTTTTGTTTACTCAAATTTCTTTTAAGTTTTCTAAACTACTATCTACATAATTTAATATTCATATGAAATTCAAATTTTTAAACAATAATGAAAGATCCAAAATGTCCGTTTCATTTTGTGCAAAATCCCTTCTGGGCTAATCGAAGTAACGGATTTAGCGCTTAAACGCTAACTAAATATTCAGAACTCATTTAGAATTGATTAGAATCGTTTAGAACGACGTAAATGTCATCTAAACGCAAATTAAATATTCAGAACACGTTTAGAATAGATTCCTAAACGTTTAGATCGACGTAAATGCCATCTAAACGTGATCTAAACCAATTTTAAACCATCAAATGCCCGTTGGGTAGTAATATTAACTCTGAAGAAATTGAAAAAAAAAAAATAATTTAGTATAGAATAATGCACAATTATGGATTAATTTTATGTTATTATTTTCAATTTATATATTATTAGTTTCTATATAAACATTAACAAATTAAAATGAAACCTTTAAAAGAGTTGTAAAATCAGTACTTTTGCGCTTTTTTGATATCTGCTGATTATGAATGCTTTCTTCAGTTTCTGATATTTAAAAGTTTTGCAATCCTCATTACAATCTGTAAAAGAAATAACAAAACATCTTATCCTATCTATTAAAGCAATGACAAATAAATTTAAAAAGTAAATTATTTAACATTTTGTGAATAAAAATTATCATATCACAAACTAAAATAACAATTCAATAAAATATCAAGCTTCTGGTTCTTCAAACAGACTGGCGATATGACATTTTGCTAAAATGTTAACACTAATTTGGTTGAAGGTACATCAACACATAACATTAACTTGTTAAAAGCGTTTTAAATAAGTTTAGTCATCTAGTTTTTTAGCTTTTTTTGCAGACTTTAGTTTTCCTAATTCCGAGGGATGATATACTTATACATACTATATATTTCAACCCGTTAAAACTTCAAGCTTGGTAGGTTTTTCATAACATAATAAAATTAAAAAAAAATAATGCTATAAATATTTCAATAGCTTTTAGATATAGAGCATAAGATAAAAACTAAACAATTTGAACTCTCTTTTAACTAATTTAAACTTTAAAGACTCGAACCAATCATCAATGTACCTTTTAAATATAACAGGAATTACCTTTAATCTTACATTAATTTTTAAGCGTTGAATTTTTATTATAGCTTTTCAGAAGCTTGAGCAATTAGATTATGATTTAAAAGGTAAATATCTGACAGATGTTCAACTATTAGAATCAAAGTACAGAGTTAGCACTTTATCTTGTGATTACTAAAAGAATAACTATTAGTTTTAAAAATCACTGCAGTTTTTATTTACAGAATCTTTACAGAAATAGCCATTAACTTATTTATTATTTTAGGAAAATCTAAATTTTAAAGGAGTAAAAAAGTCACAAAAACTTACCACTTGCATGTGTACTTGGCTGTTTCCTGCTGCTTTAATTGTTGTTGCAACTGACTGGACTGTATATAAAATATTAAATGAAATTAAACACACAAAACTTAACAATAAAAAATATATTTATGCGGATTTCATAAAATTATGTAATATAGCTATATATATTATTGTTCAAAATATGTTAACTTTTCTACTAAAGAGAAAATAAATGATACAATATAATAATCATATCAGAGATAAGTAAATTTATTTTCTCTTTAGTGGTTATCATATAGGAGTATGAATACTACTTAAATTTTTAAAAATATTTTTTAGTTTACATTAAAAGCCTTCACTAAAACTGAAGATCCATTATATAAATATTTCAACCTCACAATTTTTAATTGGCACTGACTGCACTAAAAGTATAAATATAACATTGCTATTCGATCAATATAACATCTATCATAAACAAATAGATGTTAGGTCTTAAAATAAACAAAAAATAATAATTTTATTTAGTTATTTAAAAAGTAGCTACGACTTAAAATGCATAATTTTCCTCTAAAACTTTTAGAGAAAATTTATGCATTTTAAGTAATATTTTAGCGTTGTTAAAAACCAAACAGAAAAAACAATTTAAGAAATAGTTTAAAAAGATGCTGAAATTGCTACTTTTCTGAAACTACTGCTACTTTTTTGAAACTGCTATTTTAGTAGCAATAACTAAAAAAAAGAATTATCAAAATATATTGATACTGTACTTAAAATTACTTTTAATCGCTCATACAATATCATCGAAGAACTTACAGGACTTTTTAACTCCTTCATTAGCCACAATATAATACTAAAAACAAATTTCTTTTATTTTTTCTAAACCTTTATTACATAATTTAAGATTAATAAGAAACTCTAATTTTTAATCATAATGAAAGATTCAAAATGTCCGACACATTTTGTAAGAAACTAATTTAATTTAGTTAGTTCCGTACGGAAATTGTTTGATTTAGCTTTTCAACGCAAATTAAATATTCAGAACACGTTTAGATTAGATTCCTAAACGTTTAGATCGACGTAAACGCCATCTAAACGTGATCTAAACCAATTTTAAACCAACAAATGCCCGTTGGGTTATGAAATAACAAAATAAATTTTTTAACCAAAAAGCATTTTTAAAAGTAAATGTTTTAACAATTAATTTTATTTTTAAATTAGTTTTAACTATAAATAAGTAGTTATGTAAAATGAGTATGTAAACTATTCAAATAAAAAAATAAAATTTGTTTATTAATAGATTAAGTTTTTTTTATAATACAGTTAAATTTGCAGTTTCCTTTTTTTTTTTTTTAAATAATCATGTTCCATATTGTGTTTTACTAAATAAAAATCAAAAAAATTTAATTGCTTTAGAAAGCATAATATATAACCATATCATTATAAAGTTAAAAAGCATTTAGGATAGCTATAGAGATACATCACTAAAATGATAAAGTGTTTTTTTTTATGTGAAGTTGTATATCTTAGGAAGTTCACACTGGGTAAAAATTTCTCAAAAAACACAAAAAAACACAAATCTGCACCCTATATCTCCAAAATTTTTGAAACTTGGTACAAATGCTTATAGACATATGTTAGGAAAGATTGTAATTTTTTTTCATACAATTCCTTACCGTTTATAATTTACAGCAATTTGAAGTTTCCTTGATTTTGACTCAAAACTGAGGGAGGAAAAGTGCCAAAAATCATTCCGTTTACTTTCACCTTAAAATGGTGCTTGTAGTGATGCCACAATTCTGAAACTTTGTACCAAAAGAGTTTAAAACTTGTTAAATCCGAAAAATATAGAGTTTTATATGTCGTAACTTGCAAATGTAGCTTAGTTTAAGATCCGTAAAATACACTTTATAACGCCGAGATAAAAGGGCATTGACAATTATAGCTATAAAAAAATATGACTGATATAAAAAAAATTTAATTTCGGTTTTCTTGTTACTTAATATACCTTTTTCTAATGTTAACTTACGTGCAGTTCGAGCTACATAGTTTGTTATATGCTATGTTTCAGATTTTATTGACCAGTCTGTTGGAGCAAGTGTCGCAAGTTGTACTTTTTTTGATGTTGATGTAGACTCTGCAATTTTGTTAGTTAACAATACCATCATGTTATAAAACAAGTTTGCTTTTTCCAAATAATCATTATTAAAACATGACTGTTCTTCAAAACTTTCTTCTGATATATTAGGAGAAATGGTTACCTTTTTTTAAAGGAGGTTGTTAATGCTGTCAATTTTCATTTACCTTCTCTGATTTTACCTGACTTGTGCAATCCTTTGACCTTAGTTGGATATACTCCGGCAAATGCAAAGTGTGTATCTACACTTTCTTTTTTATTTTGATTGGATCATTCATTAACAGTATCAAAATCTTCATCATTTTTATTTTCACTTATACTTTTTGATAAACATGTCATAACTTTGCTTCGACAGGTTGGACAGAGTTTTTTTTTCAGGTATAAGATTTAAACATATAGTTTCTGTTTCTAACACAGTATGCATTGTAATCACACGTAGAGATGCTTAAAAAGAAAGTAATTAAATTACTTAAATAACATTAATTATATATATTATGTAATTTTATTACTCTACAATTTGTTATATTAATAACTATGAAACATTAAACAAATCTTCTTACCAAAAAAACTTATATGACTTATTAATAATGATATTACCTAATGAAATATAAATATATAAATTTTTACCTCTACTCTCCTTTTGGTGACTCAGAAATGGATTACAGCTACTTTTCTGATTACCTTTATATCTTACAACTAACAAATCATGATGGTTTGTGCATATGTTAGTAATTTGTTCTTGTTTCAGACTTGTTCGTTTTTCAAGTAGCTTACGGTCATTGCTGTCAATATCTTTAATTAGATTTCTTTCTTGAGTATATGATTGTTTATAACAAGCTCCATAGTTATTTACAAAGCAGCAACTAATTGTGTTATCCATTTGAAAATATAATGAGGAATCTCTGTCCAAACACTTAATACAAAAAATCTTAAATAATCTTAATGTCCCTAACAAAAAAAGTACACTTGAACACAAACAATATCATATCAATATGTATTTATAAAGAACATATTGCTTGAACAAGTACCTATTAGTTTAATAGACATATTTTAAATGCCTAACTATCTACTAATTATTGTAAATTCTCCATTACTTACGTACAAATAGTAGTGTAAAAGTAAAAGATAACTAAATATAATTTTATTTAGTTATGTAATTTAACATGGTTATGTTAATTAGACATTATTATATCATTTTATTTCTTTTTTAATTGATAATATTAAATGTTTTATTACAACAAAATAATCCACAACAAAAGTTACATAATATTGTTAAATTTAACGACATGATATTGAGTAATGAAAATGACATAATTATTATGTAATGAAAGTAAAAAAAAACAAATTTATAAAATGTTCAACTATGTTTTGTAATAACTATGCAAAGTTAATAAAAAGCTATTACAAAACAAAAATAATTGTATTTGTATTCAAAATATATTTGCAATTATTTTTTTGCAAAATATCTGTAGAAAAATTGAAAAACTAAAACATCAATAACTCCTTGATAAAACATAAGGCCAAATAAAAATTGGTTTGCAAAGTAGATATATGTTTAATATTTAAAATAACGAAAACCAAAACTTTCTTTCATCTGTCAGATTTTTTCTAGAACTATAGTTGTCAATGGCTTTTTTTATTGTAATTAACAAGTGCGTTTTGTGGATCTAAAAATATACTATATTTTACTGTTTTGAGAGATATAAGTTTATGATTTTCAGATTTAGCAGGTTTTAAACTCCTTTGGTACGAAGGTTTAGCTTTGCAACATTTCTACAAGTTTGTTAAAGCGATAATGGTAAATTGACATATTTCTGGCTTTATCCCCCCTCTTTTTCAGTCAAAAAATAACTAACTTCAAGTTGCTGTAAATCTCAAAGGGTTGAGAATTTTTTGAAAAAATTTTACAGTCTTTCCTAACTTATATCTTTGAACATTTGTGCCAAATAACAGCAAATTTGGTGATGCCGGGTGCAACCCCTTGATTTTTGAGAAATTTTTACCCCACTATTACAAATGATTCTACAAAAGCTGATGTTTAAACTTTGAAATCCAACTATGTTTGTAATAAATAATAACAAAAAATAGGTTTATAACTAATAATTTGACATAATTATTATGTCTTGTATTTCATTTTTTAAAGATCTAATTATCATTTTCTAATAAATCTTTTATTAATTCAATTTGTAGATTCACGCTGTTACTTCTACTCCTGGTAATGTGCCCAGATTCAAAAATGAATATTTTTATCAGTCAATATCACTTCCTGAAGTTAAATGTAAGATGTTTAATAAAAACTGTTGATTTTTTGAGTTTTTGATTTTTTTTTTTTTTTTTTTTTTTATTAAGATTATTGAAAAAAATTTAACTAAAATAAATCTCAACAAGCTAAAATGCTTACTTTATTTAAATTATGTTTGGAATATTTTTTTTATCTTTAATCATTTTTATATGATATTATAGAATATTTATATATATATTTATATAATATTATAGAATAGAATTTTTATATAATATAATAGAAACCCTTAAAATACAAAAAAACAAAATGCTTTTAATAGTTATTTAAAAAATACTCACACTTTATTTATATTAGAGTTTTTTTTTTTTTTACTTTAGTAAAAACATCAGTTTCTATGTAAATATAAACAAGTAAATAATTTTTTTTAAACAACTTCGCTTCCAACAAGGCTGCAAGCAGCCACTAGTTAGAGTAGGAAGTTGCTCGAAGAGAAAAGTAGAAGATTGTAGAGCAAGATAACGATTGGCAGACGACTTAAAAGGTTGAAAATAATATGAACCAGTAAAGCAAAATGAAGGAAACGAATTCCAAAGAATGATGTTTGAGGAAAAAAACTAAACGATTAAGTGCTTTTAAAGCACTTAGGAACTGTCACAAAAAAGCATTATACTTAATTGAATGACAAGTAAAACAAAAACAAATTTTAGTAGATGGCACAAAAAACGCTAGCTCTTTAAAGCAGCGCCCATTATAGTATTTGTAGAAAAGAGAAAAAAAAGCAACATTAAGACAATGTGATAATAGTTGAAGGTTCGCTGCAAGGACAGATCTAACTATGTTTAGAATGCGTTTTTGCACCTTGTCTAAAGAAAAAGAGCATCATTAGAAGATCAGCCCAAGATATCGCAATAGTATTCAATACAAGGCCAGATTTGAGATTTACAAAGATAGAATAGAATTCGCAGTAAAAAAGTGTCGAGCTTGATAAAGAGATGCAACTTAAGCAGATGCTAATTTTGCAATGGATTTGATATATGATTTCCCAGAAAGATAAGAACTATAACTTAATCCTAGAAGATGAAAGGTAAATTACTCATTAAGTACATTACCAGTCATAAATATAGGAAGGTCTAAACTATTGCGATAACAATTGGCTGGAAAGAATTAAGCTTAATCTGAATTAAAGTTTTTTTTTTATGCCACTTTAGGTGTGAGAATATCTGGAAGATCGTTTATGTAAGTTAAAAAAAATATAGGGCCAAGGATTGAACCTTGTCGAACTCCTGAGGTTACAGCATAAAAATTAGAGTGTTGTATGTGAAGGAATACATTTTATGATGATTTGAAAGGAAGGATTAAATAATCTTAAAGATGTTACCAAATACACAATAAGAAGAAAACTAATAGAGAAGACCAACATGCCAAACTTTATCAAAGGCTTTAGAAATGTCAAGAGCGATAGCCTTAACCTCTCAATCTTTATCTAATGCACAATAAAACCTATCAGTTGTTACTGTTAGCAAATCAGCTTTAAAACAAGAGACTCGAAATTCATATTGATGATCTTAAAGTAAGTTATTAAATTCAAGATGAGAGATTAAGTGTTTGTTCATTAAAGATTCAAAATTCTTGCTTATAATAAAAAGAAGAATAATGGGACGGTAGTTAGACGAATTAGATCGCTCTCCAGAATTTTTGAAAATAGGGGTAACAGATGCTGCTTTTACCAAGCTAGAAAACATGACTTTGATGAGAACTAGTTGAATTGTTTTGAAATTATAGACGACAGCCTAATTTTTGTGATGAAATACATATGAAATACATAAGAAATATGAAATTGTGATTTTATGACCGGAAAATAGGGGGCTTTGACGTTAGACAAAACCTTTTTACAATGGTTTCTAGTAGTAAAAAAGAGACGTTTGTTTTAAGGAGAATTTTTTTGGTGACAGATATAGAAGTATCGGTTTTGATTGGCGATTGCAGCAGCACAATGAGAGGAAAACCATAGAAAAGAGTGAGGCCTGACCTAGTATTATCGAGAGGAAATAAAAGATTCCATGCGAGCCTGAATCAACGAAGTTATTTAAGAAGCAAATTTGTCAACAGGAAGACGAAAAAGAGCCAGTCAGCTTCAAGGCAGTTGAAAGAGGTATGATGATAGGGGGATTCAGATGATGAAGAAGAACAAGATTATTATTTTAGAGAGATCAAACTGTGATCAGAAGTACTTAAGGGTCAATTTGGAGAAACTGAGCACTGAATAGGTTCAAAAACAAGACATAAGTAAAGTAGAAAAAGTAAATGATTCTGGTTATATGGAAAGCAAGTTGGAAAATTGACTATTTAAGTTAGAGCTTGACAAAAGCAAAAGTTGTGGGCCTAAACGCATGCAAAGTCATGATTGAATCCAACAGATTCTATCTGTTGGCCTTGGCCGGTCAACAGATAAAACCTATTTACCTCTTAACTCTTTGCCTGGGTGGCCTTCTACGAGACAATAGCCGGATGCATTTAACATCTGCCCAAGATGAGTGTTTTTATCGAGACACTATCTTTAGCTTTTACTCAACCAAGAGCCCAAAGTTAAGTAATGTTTAAAGTCGGAGTTGGCATCTCCTAGCCATTGCCTAAAAAGACGTATCCTGCATGGCAGCAGGAGATAAAGCAGATTGTTCTGGGTTAATTACGCATTAAAAAACCTTTTCATTCTTTGTTTTAACATTTGTACTTTTTTTTTTTTAATTTGTTTTAAAATATAAACAATTATTATAAAAAATACATATTTTTACAAATAAAATAAAAAACTTATTTTATACTAATTATAATTACTCAATGTGCTTCGTTACTTCATTACTTACTTTATTAAAAAGCGTTTCAATAATATAGAAGCATTATTGATCAAATTTATTTTACTGTTACGGCTTTCAAAAACATTTGCGTTTTATTTTCAGCAAAATTTTTTTGATCTTTTCAAATGTGCTAACTTCGATATATCTTATATTACAAATCGTTAAAGAGATTTTCGTTTTAAAAAGTCATTATTTATAATGGCAGCTCAACTAGATATGCTTAATTGTGTAGCTAATGAGAAAAAAGATAGAATGAAGCGTTACAAAAATCTTATAGTCTTTGGCATTCCAGCATTGACTAAAAAAGAACCTAACGAGAAGCAAGTAGACGATGAGAACAAAATAAAAGAGCTTCTAACCAACGTTAAAATTAGTTCAGACAATATAATAAAAAGTTTTCGCTTACGGTCAAAATATCCAAATATACCTCCACTTATTATAGTTGAGACGACAGACACTGTCACCAGGAACAATATTGTTAAAGCAGCCCGGCGTAAATTTGAAGGCATCTATGTTAATCGAGATCTGACAGAAGCACAAAGAAGACAAGATAGACAATTACGAGACGAGTTAAAAAAAAACAAAACAAGTCCTTAATTTAAAAAACAACTGGGCAAAGGCAAGTTATTACTACGTTATTTGTAATAATGCTGTAGTTAAAGAGACAAATAGCAATCAACAGTAAGTAATTTAAAACCATATTATGACAATTTAAATACAAACTAAATTTCTTTAGAGCGTCATTTTCAACTATTAGTCTACCACAATAGTCAGCTTTCTATAAAATACCAGGGCGTTATACCAATGCTTCATCTCTTAACAATAAAATGCTAGAGTTTTTAGTATCAATTGAGACATAAAAACCTATAATAATCTTTGTTACAGAAACTTGGTGACATGAATCATCGATAACTAATAATGAAAACTATATGTTATTCAGAAAAGATTGCGTATCCAGTAGAAGAGGTAGGGTGGCTATTTATGTCGACACTTCATTAAAACCTAATAAAGTAAGCGAAATTGTTTTTTTAGACTCCCTGAACAAATTTATTGCGAAATATTGTACGGTTCCAAATACATCCTTCTGGATTGCATATACAGGCCACACATGCTAGACCCATTTGAGAATATTGAAGCGTCCATTATTAAGCAAATGAACCACTGTCTAATATATACAGCGACTTATTAATTTGTGGAGACTTTAATTTGCCAGGATTAACTGGGGTTCAAGCAGTATCCCAACTTTCACCAAAACAGATTCCCTTTCAAGTAATTTTATTGACATCCTCGCCTAGTCTTTTTTGATACAATTTGTTACTAAACCCACTTTTCAACTTGATGAAATTACATCGAAAAACACTCTTGATCTAATTATAGACGAAAATAAAAATCGGGTCCTCGATATACACCATGCACCTTTAACGTCTCTAAAGAAATCACACCACGTCCTTCAATGGGATTACGTTGTTAAAAGCGCTACAGTTGTAGGAAAACACATTGAAAAACGCATTTATCACAAAAGTATCTTTGTAAAGATATCCGAATATTTAAACAATATCAACTGGCAGATGGAATTCAATGGACGCAATAATGATGACAGTTATAACATTTTCCTGAACCACCAAGAAAAACTAGAGGACATCATCTAAAAACGACTAAAAAATATGTTCAAAATTGCAAGCAAAGGCACCAGTTTTTTACTAATCGAATAGTGAATCATTTGAATCCATTTCCATCAGAAAATGTATGCGCTTCCTCAGTTAAGTGTCGAGATTATAATTTGTAAAAGATTGTAAAAAAAAAAAAAAAAAAAAAATATATATAATAATAATAATAATAATAATAATAAAGTACAAACTTATACTTCATACTATATGTCTTATTGTAAATTTTTATAGATTAATATGAATAAAACTAGTGTATGAAGTAGATAAGGCTGCAAAAACCTGTAGGTTATACAGGCAAACCTGTTGCAGCCATTTTTTTACTACTACTACTACTACTACTACTACTACTACTACTACTACTACTACTACTACTACTACTACTACTACTACTACTACTACTACTACTACTACTACTACTACTACTACTACTACTACTACTACTACTACTACTACTACTACTACTACTACTACTACTACTATTTATAAAAACAATTATTTTTTTCATTTTTTAATAACT